AATTTACCTTATTATGTGGTGTGACCAACAAGATTATATTACCTATTTATTTATGGTTCAAAACAGGGCATTCATACCAGATGGCTACTGTTGTGTTGACTGTCGTCATATTTTTATTTGACAATCTAGGGAAAAGAGGTCATTGCCCTTCACTAAAGAGTCAGGTATTGCATGCTTAAAAATTCTTGCAGTACGCTATTTGAAAATCGCTGTTTTATTACAAGAAGTAGATTGCATAGACTACAGGTACAGGGTGGTGGAGGTTGTTTACTTATAATTTCCTTCAACATCAATCATGGAAAACCTTGGCCTTGCTCAAACGTGGGCTAGGACTCACTGCCTTACATGACAATCAGGCTTTCTGTTATTTGAAGAGTGTGATGGCTAAAGAAAGGCTGTTGATCTCTGTACTTGATGTGGTTGTTCTAGAGGCCTGTTTTTATAGTGTATTATATTAAAACCCAGAATCTAAATCTAGGCACGCTTGTTTAATGAATTGGTTCAAAGATGTCTCAATTTTCTTCCTATTATATATATTTTAATGTAATGGATTCATTATAACATAAAATTTAGCTTTTGCATAGTAATTTATGAAATTAACTTCTTACCCTTTTCTTTTCCTAGGAGCACTGAATCAAAAAAATTGGGGAAAGAAATATCCAACATGTAATAGCCCCAAACAATCTCCTATCAATATTGATGAAGATATTGCACAAGTAAATGTGAATCTTAAGAAACTTAAATTTCAGGGTTGGGATAAAACATCTTTGGAAAACACATTCATTCATAACAATGGGAAAACAGGTAACATGTTTGCATTTTGTTTGTGTCTTTAATATATTTATTGGACCTGGAGGAAGTTCAGATTAGTTTCATTTGATTTTCCTTTTATAATGTACTATGAACTGGATATAAACTATCTGTACAGAGCCTAGAAAATATGAAGTTTAGACATTTTGAAAATGTGTACAAAAAAATAAAATCACCAAAGTAGTTATCTCATGTTCTCCAATAATATAACAATAATGATGCCTCCACTAGAAGATGTGATAAATATACTATAATATATAATTAATGTAATCTAATAATTCCATCACTGGTTAATCACTTAGTCAGTCAGGATTTCCTTTTCTTGGGCATTGCAGTTTGATTTGTCTCCTGAACCTCAGACTATATTCAATAATTGGATAAGAAAAAAGCAATTGACTATAATTGGATTTTAAGAAATTACTAGCCGTTCTACACAAAAGCTTAAAATTATATACAATCCTTAGGAAGCACTCTCAACGTGCTTTTTCTTGAGACTGTCTGTTTTTAAAAACATGCAAATTATAATACCATAAAAAATTCCACTAAATGATAAGTAGAAAAATGATATTTTTCAAAAAGTGAACACTTTTTTTCTCTGATATGATTTAAATGAAATTGTATGTATTTCAAGAAGTTACGTAAAATAAATATAGTCATGGGGAAGAGATTGGAAAAAATATTCAATATGATCATAGTGGTAATGTTGAGGTGGTTTGTAATTAGTGAATTTTTTCTCTACTTTCCATATTTTAGTAATATAATTATTTGAATGTGGCAATTTAGATTTAAATTCCATAAGGGTAGGATTTTTTTCTACATCAGTGCCTAATGCAGATTAAGTAAGTACTCAGTAAATATGTGTTGAATGAAAAATTAAGAAAATTATTATATTATAATATATTCTTAATTAAATTCATAAAAGTATATTGTTGTAAATCTTGACATTTCCAGTACTGTTTTTTTTTAATGCGTCTATATTATTGAAAGTATATGATGTCCCCTTTGGGTTTTTTTCCCATTGACTCCCTCAACCCCGCACCCACCTCTCCAAGGCCTTCACCACACATTGTCTGTGTCCATGGGTTAAGCATTTATGCATATAAATTCCCTGGTTAATTTCCCATCTCATCCCCACCCCACCTTCCCTCTTAAATTCGTCAGTCTGTTCCATGCTTCTATGTCTCTGAATCTATTTTGTTCATCAGTTTATTTTGTTCATTAGATTCCACATATGAGTGAGATCATGTGATACTTATCTTTCTCTGACTGACTTATTTCGCTTAGCATAATACTCTCCAGGTCCATCCATGCTGTTGCAAAATGGTAAGAGTTCCTTCTTTTTACAGCCACATAGTACCCCATGGTGTAAATGTACCACAGCTTTTTTATCAACTCACCTATCTGCTAATAGGCATTCAGGCTGTTTCCAGATCCTAGCTATTATAAATTGCTCTACTATGAACATATGGGTGTATATATCCTTTCTGATTGGTGTTTCAGGTTTCTTAGGATATATTCCTAGAAGTGGAATCTCTGGGTCATATGGCAGTTCCATTTTTAATTTTTTTGAAGAAAATCCATACTGCTTTCCACAGTGGCTGTACCTGTCTGCATTCCCACCAGCAATGTACTAGGGTTCCCTTTTCTCCATAACCTCACCAATACTTGTCGTTTGTTGATTCCATTCTGACAGGTGTGAGGTGATACCTCATTTTAATTTGCATCTCTCAGATGATTAGTCACTTTGAGCATTTTTTCATATGTCTCTTGGCCATCTGTATGTTCACTTTGAAGAAGTGTCTATTTAGGTTTGCCCATTTTTTATTGGATTTGTCTTCCTTTTGTTAAATTGTGTAGGTTCCTTATATATATATTGGATATTAACCTTTTATCAGAAGTATCATTACCAAATATATTCTCATACAGTGGGCTCTCTTTTCATTTTGTTGATGGTTTCTTTTGCTATACAGAAGTTTTTATTTTTATGTATTCCCATTTGTTTATTTTCTCTTTTGTTTCCTTTGCCCTAGGACAGCGGTTCTCAACCTGTGGGTCGAGACTCCTTTGGCGGTCGAACGACCCTTTCACAGGGGTCGCCTAAGACCATCCTGCATATCAGATATTTACATTACGATTCATAACAGTAGCAACATTACAGTTATGAAGTAGCAACGAAAATAATTTTATGGTTGGGTCACAACATGAGGAACTGTATTTAAAGGGCCAGAAGGTTGAGAACCACTGAAGGTGAATGGGCTAAAGCCAGCATACACCTGGGAGTACATGAGCAGGGAGAAGAGACCTTTGATCATAGCAAATCAAGATGAGCACAGGACTTGAGCACATACTGGGAAGGTGCCCAGGCAGGTGCTCATCTCTGAGGCTCTGTAAAAGGGACATGAGCACACGTTTCCTGCACTGTGGACACACAGCACAGACACAGACCAGCAGCTCTATCTCTTTTCTCCAAAGAGTCTTCTTAGGTGTGTAAGTAGCTTTGCTTTAACATTACGAAGGATAAGTTAAGTATATGCATGTAACACTGAGTAAAGTCACATTTTTATTTTAGAGACTGCCATATATGGAAGCTTTTTTCTTTAAAATCAAAGCCACGCCCCCATCCCAGGCAGGCAAACCTAATGGGAGCCCACCTGCAGTGAGGCGCTCCTACCTCTGCGTGCGCGTGCCCTTCCCTGCCATCTTCTCTCTGTTCCCGCTGTTCCTTCCACTCCCGGTCCTGCTCCTCTGGGGATGGGTCGTGTTCCTCCTCCAGACGTTCTGCCTGCCCCACCTGCTCCATCGCCTCCTCCTCCAGGGCCTTTCTCTGTTCCTCTTCCACCTGGTGCCCCTCGGGCTCCCTGGCTTCCGCCTGTGGCTGGTGGAGCTCTGCTGCCTGAAGTTCGGCCTCCTTCTGAGAGGGAGGATCCTGTTTTGTTTCCTCTGTTCTTCCAGCCACGGCTCCATGATCCTGCCACGAATCGCTGTTTCGAGACACCTAGGCCAAGCACAACCCTGGAAATGACACTCTTCTCTGTCGAAAGGAGTGACATTATTTCTTTATAACCATGTCTATGGGGTTACAATATGGGCATAATCCTGGAGTCTAGACATACACAGTCCTGACTCAAAAGTATGGCTGCAGTGAACTCTCCTCACTGCATAAGCTCACCTATAAAATAGAGCAGAAGCAAATTGCATCTGGGGAAGAACAGAGCAGATAACCTGAAAGTACACTCTGTAAGTGACCGCATCTCAGCGGCAACCTAGCCTCCGTTTTCCCTTAAAATAAAACGGGGGAAAAGAACTTCAAGGGATGAAACGTTGACATACTTCTCTCCCATGTAAATTTTGTCTTAAGGAAGGATTTGAAAAGAAAAGGATAAGATCAAGTAGAGGATGAGCTGGGTTTATTTTGTATTAGCTAATAGAAAAAGAGCATGCCTTGACTCATGGGCATCCCTTTTATTAGTGTAGATTATTATTATTCCATATAGATTTTTGGAGAGTTTGTTCTAGATCTGTGAAATATGCCCTTGGTATTTTAATAGGGATTGCAGTGAATCTACAGATAGCTTTGGGTGGTATGGACATTTTAATGATGTTAATTCTACCCATCCATGAACATGGTATATTCTTCCACTTGTTTATATCTTCCTCCATCTCTTTTTTCAATGTCCTCTAGTTTTCTGAGTACAAATCTTTTACAAAACTCCTTGACTAAGTTTATTCCTAAGTATCTTTTTTTGTTGCAATGTAAATGGGATTGTTTTCTTAGTTTCTCTTTCTGAGAATACTAATACATTATTGGTGTATAAAACGCCATCGAGCCCTACCTAGTTTGGCTCAGTGGATAGAGCATCCACCCATGGACTGAAGTGTCGACATATGAACCAGGAGGTCATGGTTCGATTCCCAGTCAGAGCACATGCCCGAGTTGTGGCTCCATCCCCAGTGTGGGGCATGCAGGAGGCAGCTGATCAATGATTCTCTCTCATCATTGATGTTTCTATCTCTCTTTCCCTCTCCCTTCCTCTCTGAAATCAATAAAAATATATATATTTTAAAAAGTACAGCATTAAATCCTGATCAGGTTAATCTCTGTTTCTCCTCCTTCCTAGGATTGTGTGAGTAGCAAATATTTAATGCATGGTTCATTGTAAGTGATAAAAAAGAATGTTGACCATTATTGTTATTGTTGTTATTATTAATGGAAGTTTATGTCTCTAGTTGTCCAACCAGCATGTTGGATTAAGTCCCTAATGCCAACAGTGGTTTCTGCCTCATGGAACAAAAACTGTTTAGATCTGATTGAGAGATTTCAACATCTTGTCTTAAGCTCTCAAGAGAATTCTTAATCTCCAGACAACTCTTAAAATACTGTCAAATAATATCTGATATGGAACTCAAATTAAGAGATTTTAAGATTCTGAAAGTTGTCACTCAGAATTCAAACATGAGATGGCTAAAACCCCTCAATGGGACTGGGTTTCCACCTGCCTTGCTGCAGCCTGGGACACGGCTTGATGAAGCCTGGGGCAATGCATGGAGGGGTACGAAGGGGAGACAGAAACAGCACCCTGATAACGAGTAGAAATGAGCTGAACATGAGAAGATGGGGAGCACTCCCAAGAGAAGACTTCTTTCCTCTCTTCTTTTCCTTCTCCCTTCGCTCTGTCCCCTCACTGTCATCACATGCCTTAGGGAAGCAGAGCTTTGGGGTAAGGGCCATCTCAGGACTCCAGAGAAGCAGGGCAGGTGGACTGGCTGGCTGTCCTCTGCTAAAAGGGTCCCACAGTACTTAAGGTCTTTGGGTTAGTTTACATTTTAGGCATATATTGATTTTTTAAAAATTTGAATTTCCTGGGTGACATTGGTTATTAAAATTATATAGGTTTCAAGTGTACAATTCTATAATACATCATCTGTATATTGAGTATATCGTGCAGAGTTACAGTTCAGCTTCCAAAATGGCAACTTAATTTTTTAAAAATTAATCAAAGAAATTATTTTTAATGTACCTGTGATAGGAGAAAATGTACTTGAAATTTGTAATTTTGATTTTTAGAAATTTAGATGCAATTTTATTTTTGTCTGTGTATGTGTTTTTAGTGGAAATTAATCTCACTAATGACTACCAGCTCAGTGGAGGAGTTTCAGAAACGGTGTTCAAAGCAAGCAAGATAGCTTTTCACTGGGGAAAATGCAACATGTCATCCGATGGATCAGAACATAGTTTAGAAGGACAAAAATTTCCACTCGAGGTAAGTCACTAGTTCTGCTGGTGCTCCAGTGTGGACTGGTTGTCCTCTACATCCATGCACAGCCATCCTAAGATCTCCCTAATCATTCCCTCGGAGTTCCCTCTGATCCTTTCCTCTATTCATTGAGATTTTATTAAGCATATTATTTTATTAATTTGTTAGCAAATTTTATAATTTGTACTGTTATATTTTGTTTGCTTTGTTAATATCTGTCTTCCTTACCAGACTAAGTTAAATAATACCCAAATTTGCTTTTTCACTTCCTGGTAACCCAGAATGTCACATTATTGATGATAAATGTTTATGAGTAAATGAATCAATTAAATTTTTTCATATCCCTGTAGGGAAAAAAAGAGGGGGGGAGGGTTCATCATTATACTGGTGAATCAAAGAAATGCAAAGTAAAATGAGAAAAAATTTTCAGCTTTAAAATTGGCAAGATAAACATAATTATAATAAATCATGAATGTGGGATGAAATAAAAACTTTCATACATGTCTAGAGAGTATAAATTGGTAGACTTTCTGGATGCAATTTGCTTGTTTTTATCAAGAGTTTTAAAAAGCTTATTGTCAATATCCATCATTTCAATTTGTAGCAGTTTAATCTAAAATATAATTAGAGATATACTCAAAAATGTATGTGCAAAGATTTATTTACAGTAATAAAAAGTTGAAACAAAAGAAAATGATTAAATACATTATTATGGGATATTATATATCTTGTAAAAATCATATTCTTAGATGATTTACACAAAAATGGTTCATCATAAGATATTAATGTTTTTAAAAAAGAATATAAAAAGGTGAACATGGTATTGTTATTTCAACTTTGTGAAATATGAAAACTAGTTACTGAGAGTACAGTTTGAATCACTGACTAAGTTTGAATATGGATTTCATCATTTAATTACTAAAGACACAACATTGTACAAATTATTGTTAGTTTAGTTATTAGTTAAATACATGACATTGTAGAAATTATTTACTTTACCTAAGCTTCCAGTTCTCTTCTGTGAAATTAATGTAATAGTAGTAGCAACTATCTTATGCAGTTATTATGAGGATTAAATGAGAAGATGGATTATTACTAATATAAAAATAATTGAGGGAAATCAAGAAAGCATGAACAACGATTTTTCCCTTTGTCATGGCATATAGGTGCCTCCTTCAAAATTCCCATGTTTTCTAAATTACTTAAAATGAAACTATTAATTTATAATCTAAAATATATATTGATAATAAAAATAAAACTAGCGTGAATGATCTCTTAAAGCAGCAGTTCTCAACCTGTGGGTTTCGACCCCTTTGGCCGTCAAACGATCCTTTCACAGGGGTTGCCTAAGACCATCCTGCATATCAGATATTTATATTACGATTCATAACAGTAGCAAAATTACAGTTACGAAGTAGCAACGAAAATAATTTTATGGTTGGGTCACAACATGAGGAACTGTATTTAAAGGGCCAGAAGGTTGAGAACCACTGTCTTAAAGGGTTAAAGATCATTTTTCATGTGGATAAGCACATTCAGATTTATAGCTTGTAATTTATTTTTAAACTAGGGGCCCAGTGCATGAATTCGTGCACCTTGAAAGGAACTGTGGGCCATGAGGCTGCAGTGGGCACAGGGGCGGGTCTCGGCTCATCCTCCGCACCCCTGCCCAGTCCTTCCCACTGTGACCCCTGATCCCCTGTCTGCTGGCAGCCCCGCTAATGCCGCCGATCCCATGAGCTGACAGCGCCAGCCCCACTCGCACCTGCTGACGGCATGGAGCGATTGGGGCCGGCACCAGCAGCGGGTGTGAGCGGCGGCTGCTTCCCCAATCACCCCCAGGAGCAGGTTTCATATATATAGACATATTAAATATTCTTAAAGAAAATACAGCATCAAATTTGGTTTGTGAAAGAAATAAAAGTCAATTCATTAAACACACATAACATTCTCATTTCCGAGAGTTAGCTCTCTCACAATATTACTTATTAAAAGCACAGATGAAAATCAACATACAGATGATGTACTATAGAATTGTACCCTTGAAACCTATATAATTTTATTAACCAATGTCACCCTAGGAAATTCAATAAAAATTTTTTAAAAATCAAGAAAAACTCTGGCAACAACGTAAGTTCTGAACCGGCAAAAGAAACAGTAGAGAGTCTGTGCACTAACCCTCATATATTTTTCTTATTTAAAAAGGCCCTCAAGTGTTCTTAGTGGTATTGTCTGTTTGCTGGCTGTTTGTGTAAACTCTCTCCATGTCATTGTGCAAGCAGGAAACTGAGGGGCATCCTGGACTTGTTCTGTTTTTCCGGTCTTTCTGCTTGCTGCAGACAAGTCTTCTCCATTCTGCCCCTACATGATGTGGGAGATCAGATAAAAATGTAAACCACCTTTACCTCTTACTTTGCATATGGAATGTTTCTGAACTGGTCTCCTTCTCTCTAGTCTTAATCTCTTCCCTCCCCCCATCCTGCTCTCTCCGCACCCTGTTAGCTGAAATGCATCAGGACTTGCCATTGCTCTCCAGACCAAACTGCAGGCAGGGACGGCCTCGCAGACCTTCCTGGTGTGTCTCCTGCCTAAGTCTCCAGCTTCAGCTCTCCTCTCGGTCACATATGCTCAGCTGAAATCACCAACATGACTCCCCATTTCCCACATTTCTCATATTTGCTTGCCTATTGGCCTTTCGCTGGTCCCTCTGACTTGAACACAAGCTTACCTCTTCTGCCTTTTCACCTCTGAGCTTTAAAGCTTCTCATCCTTTTGGGTTCAGCTTAGAAATTCTCTCTTTGAAAGGCTTTGGGGATCACTCAAGGCAGGAGCCACTGCCATCCCCTGCTTCACACCCACTATTTCTCTGATCACAGCCCTACAGCACATTAACCTTCTCAGAGGCATTCTCTTCTTCCCTTAATTATGCTTCTAAACTCAGTTACCTCATTTCCAAGCCCATGACATGAGGATCACCCACTTATAAGTGAGACTAGGGGCTATCGACAGATATATAGGCTAACATAGAAATTAACAAGGTGTAGCCTCAGACCTGGAGAGAAGACAAAATAAGGAATTAAAACTCTTAGTATTTTTTAGGTGGAAATAAGGTCCTTAAGAATTTCACAATTAATAGAGTGGAAGACAAAGTCCGAAAATAGTAACCCTCAGACCATCAAGAAAGGCATGTCCAGTCAAAAAAGAACCACCCCTGGAGGGGCTATCGGCAGATATATAGGCTAACGTAGAAATTAACAAGGTGTAGCCTCAGACCTGGAGAGAAGACAAAATAAGGAATTAAAACTCTTAGTATTTTTTAGGTGGAAATAAGGTCCTTAAGAATTTCACAATTAATAGAGTGGAAGACAAAGTCCGAAAATAGTAACCCTCAGACCATCAAGAAAGGCATGTCCAGTCAAAAAAGAATGAAACTATATTTGAAGGAATACCAGCAAAATAGTTGAAGTAACATTTGATCATTTATTACATTTGATAATTGTTCTAGTAAATTATTACTTTAATGCCACCTGCAATCTCAAAGTGGTCATTTCAATTGTAGGTATGTCTAATTTGTGTTTCCTTCCTCAATGCAGGATGAGAAATGATAGTAAATGCAGTTGTGTATACACAAAATTGAAAAATTACTTTTTGCCGGGGTTCTTGGCCCAGCATCAAGAAGGGTTCAGGAATCTGGAGAAGGCTGTGCGTAGATTTAATAGGAATCCAGAGACTAATGAAGAGTCGGGAGACAAGATATAATTTTGAAAGGCATTGGGGGTCAGAGGAGCTTAGCTAAAGGAGCTAAGATCCAAGATCTTAAGTCTAAGGTCTTAGGTTCTCTCGTTGTCCCCAGAACCCCATGCTTTTTATTAACACAATTTGTCATGAGGCGAGGCAGAGATATACACTTCAAAGGGTCAGGGTTTGGTACAGAGTCCATTGTCAGAATAGGGGAATTAGCCTACAGTTGTTATCAATTTAATGTATCCTATTCAGGTTTGGGGAAATGCCTTCAGCCATTCCCAACAGGTGATTACATGTGTGACTCAACCCTGTTGAGTCTCCAAGTTTCATCAACCTTTTGAAATTATGACATGCTGGAATTGGTCTCCGGCAACTTTTAAATATGCAGAGTACAGAATTATACAGTTTAGAGAATTTTTCAGATAGAAGAGATTGAATTTGGTAAATTATTTTATTGTTTCTTTGCTCACTTTTGTGAAGCCTTTCTATACACTAAAGCCGTCATTGTTACATTTATAGATGCAAATCTACTGCTTTGATGTGGACCAATTCTCAAGTTTTGAAGAAGCAGTTAAAGGAAAAGGGAAGATAAGAGCATTATCCATTTTATTTGAGGTAATCATTGTGCTTAGATTTACCACTAACTCCATTCCTGTTTGAATCACATGAAATATTGATGTGAAATGTCAAAACGTTCTTTGGAACAAATAGAAGAGCTCACAAGTAGAATGCTAACTTGGAGAACAACCCCTTGGCCGGGCAGTTGAAAGGGCCTCTTGTACTCATCTGTTGGGTACCTCACTGCCAGCTGGAGCAAACTGTCCTGAGGGCACCGATTTGCCTCTTTGTATATGTGAAGGATCATAATGATATAGCAGAGACTGTGAGTCATGACATTTTAAAATGTACTTTTCATGGTGGAAAGTTTAAGAGATTTAAAAGGTTTATGTTGTATTTGTACCTTGCTGTGGAAAAAGAGTGAGCAATTTGGAGGACATTACTTTTGACTATTAAAATGGAAATCACTAGTCTTTACATTTTAGTGGACACTTAATCAAATATTTTACCCCATTTTTAGAATATCATTCTTCTTTAACAGATTGGAATAGAAGAAAATTTGGATTACAAAGCAATTATTGATGGAGTCGAGAAAGTTGGTCGTTTTGGTAAGTAAGCTATTTGGAGACATCTTCTAGATTCTGCTTTGGATGCTAATGAATTTTTACATTATTACAAAAATCAGTTGGGTGGGAGAATGAGTTAAAAACAGATCTCACTGGGAGATTGCCTCCTGCAGGAGTGAGGGCTGGCACACGAGTAGCTAAATGACCAAGGCAGTGCTATTGGGATGTGCTACTGGGAAGATGCAAAAACAAAAATGGGACTATTCAAGGAGACAGGAAAGCCATATTATTTAAGGATTCTAGGACCAGATGAAATATTTAGGAAAACTCTACCCATTTTTTGTTTTTGGTAGGAATTCTCTGTTTTGAATATAAGTCCTATATTCTTGTATATCTCGCAAATTAAATCAATATTTGTTGTTGTACTATATATGTATGTGTATTTATATACATATGTTACCCAGAATATATTTTCCACTCTTTGTCTTGGCTTTTTACTCTCTTAATAGTGACTATGGATGAATAGATCTTGATTATCACATCTTCAAATTTATCTTTTATGGATAATAATTTTTGTGTGCCATTTCAGAAATCTTAATCTACCATAAGATTATAAAGATAATTTTCTCTGTTTTTTCTCTTAAAGTTTTATTATTCTGTTCACATTTAGATCTATAATCTATTTATAACTGATCCATACCATGTATTTAGAATTGATTGCGTATAAAGAAGGGATTCAAGATGCACTTTTTTCCATAAAAATATTCAACTGATGCAGCAGTCTTTTTGTTGTTGTTAATCCTTACCCAAGGACATTTCTTCCATTGATCTTTAGAGGGAGTGGAAGGGAGGGGGAGGGATAGAGATGAAACATCATTGTGAGAGAGACACATTGATCAGTTGCCTCTGGTACTGGGCCAGGTGATTGAGTCTGCAACCGAGGCAGGCACCCTTGTCAGGAATCAAATCCACAACCCACAGTCCTTGGGCCGACACTCCAACCACTGAGCCAACAGGCCAGGGCTGACCCAGCACTCTTTATTCAAAATGCAGTTCATTCCAACTACACAGTAATTTTTTTTCTGTCATAAATCAAGTGACCATGCATATGGGGGTCTGGACTCTGTTCTCTTCCATATTCCCTTTGTCTCTTTTTCCATAAAGATCTCACTGTCATGACTTTTACAACTTTATAAAACAGATCTTACTATCTAGTGGTGAAAGTTCACCAGCTTTATTATTGTTCAAGAGTATCATAACTTTGTTTTTTTAATTCCAGTTGACATTCAATATTATATGTGTTTCAGATGTATAGCATAGTGGTTAGATATGTACAAAGTGATCTTCTCAATAAGTCTAGTCACCACCTGGCACCATACATAGTTATTACTGTATTATTGACTGTATTCCCTATGCTGTCCTTCATATCCCTATGACTATTTTGTAACTATCAATTTGTGCTTTTTAATCCCTTCGCCTAACTTTTCTTTGTATTTCCAATTGAATTTTAAGATCAGCATGTCAGTTCATACAACACACACACACACACACACACACACACACACACACACACAGACAGACAAAGTCCCTCTTGGGACTTCAATTAAGATTTCATTGACTCTATAAATTAATTTGGAGAAAATCAATACCTTCACAGTACCAAACCTTTCTACTCCTGTACATGGTATTTCCCATTATTTTAAGATTTTATCAATTAGAGAATTACTCTTAAGAAAGTTTTGTGATTTTAAATAAAGATGTTAAACACATCATTCTTTAGATTTACTTATACTTGATACTTTGTTGTTATTATGTTCTATTGTTTAAAATTTTTATTTTCTATAGTTTGCTACTGTTATATAGAAATAGAATAACTTTTTGTAGATTGGTCTTGTATGCAGTGACTTTACTAAATACACTTGTTAATTCTAATAGTCTGTAGTTTTTTTATATTTTATATGCACAGTCATGTTATTTGAAAATTATGGTATTATCATTTATTCCTATCCAGTCTTTATGAGTTTTTTCTTTTTCTTGTTTTGTTGCATTGGCCCAGTCTTCCAGTTCAATGTTAGATAGAAATGGTGATAGCAGGACGTCTTTGTTTCCCCTTGATCTCTAAGGGAAAAGCTTTCAATAAGTCATCCTTGTTATGTTTATTACGGGCTTTTGAGGATAATCTTCAGAATGAGCTTTTGTTCTTGTTTTCCACTAAGTGTATTGAATCTTATCAAATGATTTTCCTGTATTTATTAAAATGGTCATATAATTTCTGAATATCTTTTACATGTAAAATAATCTTTCTAGCATCTTCCTGGTGTAAAGATGAAGCATCTAACGCTATGTAGTGATATATGTAAGAAAACTATGTATGTGCCAGTTTTATTGCCATTTAAAAAGTAGATCTAAACTGTTCTCAGATTCTCATTTCTGATTAAATAGATACCAAGGCATATGTCTCTGTTTCATAGAAGTTTTGAACAGCTAAGTTCCAGAGTTGGGATGCCAGCTGAGACATCTGTTATTACTTTGCAGGGAAACAGGCAGCGTTAGATCCTTTCGTATTGCTGAACCTCCTGCCAAACTCAACCGACAAGTATTACACCTACAATGGCTCGTTGACCTCGCCTCCCTGCACGGACACCGTTGACTGGATTGTTTTTAAAAACACAGTTAGCATCTCTGAAAACCAGGTAATATTAGAAATTCAAACACATGAAGTAATTTGGGGAAAAAAATTTTTTTCGGAGCTTTACTACAGAAAGTTTTAGAGCCTTTACTGATGCCCGTGAAGCAGGAATGTTAAAGGACATGTTAAATTCTCTTCTTTTTAGTTGGCTGTTTTCTGTGAAGTTCTCACCATGCAGCAGTCTGGTTATGTCATGCTGATGGACTACTTACAAAATAATTTTCGAGAACAACAGTACAAGTTCTCCAGGCAGGTGTTTACCTCTTACACTGGAAAGGAAGAGATTCGTGAAGCAGGTATGTATTGAAATATAATTTTTCTACAACTCACAGATGCAGTTTTGTAGGAGATAATTGTGGTACAATGGAAAACAACAATTTTTAGAAATATATTGATTATTAGCTTTGTAGCTTTAAACAAACTATTTCTAATTCTCAGTTACCACATTCATAAAATGGCAATTTAAAATATCTGTTCTTCCCCCCACGAATATTTCCATTTTGCGGGTGAAGAACAGTGAGATTCAATAAGGCAGTGATTTTTCTAAAACACACAGCAGTAGATGGCAAAGCTACAGACACAGCTCTGAATTCACTTGATGGAATTTGTACTAAGAGCTCTAAAAGAGAACTGAATAAACAACCAAGGTGTTCAGAGCGTGGGAGATCACATCCAGTTGGGGTGATCAGGGGAACCCCAGTGAGAGAATTAAATTTGAGCTGAGCCTTGACATGTGGTTTTGTTTGGATTGTTTGTTTGTTTCTGAGGTAGATCAATCATTTCTTTCAACAAGTATTTTTAAATCAAATGTATTAAGTTGACATTGGTTAAGAAGATGATGTAGGCTTCAAGGGTACATTTCCATGATCTTGCATCTTGTGCCCACCACCGAAAGTCAAAATCTTCTGTCACCATATATTTGGGTTTTAAGGTGTTCATCTTAGTGTTGGCAGCTCCTGGAGAAGAGCTAACGCCTAGTAGGGATGGAAACTAAATGGGCTGAATTATTAATGAAAAATGAGTCTTTTCCCCAGTTGCCTTCTTTGGAGGGAAGAAATGTCTTGTCAGGCAATAGAGAGGACACCAGGGAGCATCTCCGCAGTGACTTCTTTGAAGCCAGCGCAGCAGTCAGAGCCTTTGGAAATGCCCGGAGAACACAACCAGTTGCATCTACTGACTTGTCCTTTTCATTTCACCCTTTGAATGGACTAGTTCATGAAGGAAATAGTTGAAGTGGCCTTTGCTTTGGGGACTTAAAACCTTTCCAAGTACATGGTCTTCTTTGATCTCGGCCCTGCCAGGAATTTTTGGCCATATATAACATTAATTTAATAATCATCTGCTTTTGAAGATTAGGCATTAAAATGGCATGCTTTAATGTGCTATTTGTGAGCATTGTTTACGCTTTAACCACACAAGAAAAAAAAATACAGCGCAAGACAGCAATGATGAATAGCTGCATTTAATGTTACATTAAGTTTCAAATTAAATTGCCCCAAAGTGAGGAAATTTAATTATATTTCTACTAGCAACACTAAATACTATAACATCCTGTCTGGTAAATAATAGACAATTGATTAGAAAAAAAGAAGCTGGATTTAACCATTTCCTTTTCTAAAATGCAAATGACCAAGTAAAAATTTTAAATAAATGTATTTCTGTCATGTACTTTTCTCAATTATATGTTACTAAAACCCTTCCATACCATTTGCCATTTTATGGTAGGTCCTGTTTAACACTAACTAGTCTCAGTGCGTTCTCCTCCCCATCCAGCTTCCTTCTTTCATTCTGAAGAGGGCAGGCCCCATCTCCAAGGCTGCACTTACACATGCTCTTTCCTGTCCATGGCATGTTCTTCCCGGCTGTCTTCACTCATTGGTCTTCTCATTCTTCAAAACCAAGTAGACCATTGCAACCACTGGAGAGCCACTCTGACCCCACCGCCATCCCCACCAAGCCTAGCTCTGGCCGGGGTACAGGATTGTGCCCTGGTGGAGGTGCTGTACCCACAGAGTAACAGATAAATGATGTGCATCTGAAGTTGTGCGGTGGGCCCAGGTGTGCCTATTCTCTGCGCATCCAAACCTCATAGCAGTTGTCATAGAATGATAATTGTCTGTTTACTCATGAAGGAAGTAGCTAAGTTTTCACCTCTTTACCTCTATTGCTGAGCTAAAGTGCAGCTCTCATTCACCAGACATCTAGCAAATGACTAAAAGAATTCATCTCCATATAGTGCAAATATGGTAGGTCTATTGCATATTCATGGCTGTCTATTGCACCATTTAACATGTCTACACATATATAGATCTGACTTAATGTGGAATGTTGCTGTTTCCACAGTTAAGTGACGAAGTCCAAAAGTAATCCATAAAAACATTAATCCACCATGTATTGTGTGAATCAGTGGCCTTATTTTCCAGTTTGGAAAGATGATATTAAGTGGTTTGTCCAAGTTCACAGAACTATAAAGTACTGAATGAGTATTTGACCTCAGCTCTTCTTTATTTTAAAGACTTCCAAAGCTTTCTCCACTGTGCTTTATATTTATAAGGGAACATAATTTCTGCCTATATAATTTTATAATAAAAACTGATTACCTTAATGACATGAAACTTTTCAAAAATAGTATTACCTTTTTCCACAGACAGTAACAGCTGAATTCTTGCTTGTTCCATCATGAGTACTAGTAATCAACAAGCTCCTATTATCATTTGCCTTGTGCATATTCCTGTGATGGTTGTTTTCTTAATCGATACACTCCTTTCTGTCTACTTTCTTGAACTGAATTTGAGAATAAGAATTGAGGTTTGCATTTATGTTCAGTACTTAATTTTTATTATATTTAATCTGAAAGTAAGTTTTTATTAAAATAAATATTTTAAAAAAATAGGAAATAGAGATAAACACACAGAAGAAAATAAAAATATTTTATAATGTCACCACCCAAAGATAATTGCTATGAGGATTTTGGTGAATATCCTTCCAGACCTTTTTCTTAAAAATATATTATTATTTCTCACAGAAATGAAATTGCACTACTTACATATCTGTTTATTGATTTTTTTATTCCATGATATAAATATATTATTAATACACAATTTTTATGCAGTATTGCTTTGTAGAGCCATTAATCCAGCTTCTCAGTTCTGGATATTTGGGTTGCATTTCTATATTTTACCATTATAAATATCTAACATTCTCATTTTGACCAAGAGAGAAGTAAGAGTTGGCATGAAAATGGTCAAAATTCTGCTCTCAGTAGATGCATTGTAGAAAAATACACTCTGCAAAACTATATTGCAAATAATTGCAAAACCCACATGAGGTCTGTATATCCATGTAAACCCCTTCAGAGTAGAGGTCCAGCTTCATCCACTTCTGCATTCAGAGCAGGAATGCAGTAAGCCTTTGTGCGTGAACACATCTTACCAGAACTCAGTCCTCAAGTTTTGCATTTTTTATGTGGAGCTGCCATTTACTAGAAAGGCATGTCTTTTTGGCACCATGGAATGCACAATGGCTTTCTAAGAATCACAGAATTTAGTAGAACCATTGGATCCTGAAGGAGTAAGTAAAAGCAGGCTTTTAGATAATGAGGAATATGTGTGAGTAACCATACAGACACGGCGTGAGTGGAAAGTAGGTGAAGTTCAACTTTGTCCCCTGCCTTCCAGGTGCCAGGTGCTTCCCTACTGCCCTCACGGCCCCTGGCAAGACTCCCACTGAGAAGCGGGGCCTGGGAAAGCAGCGGGAAAGACGTGGTCTTTAAAGTCCAGTAGGCTCTTGCTTTCAAACCCCAGTGCCAACGCTTATTAGTTACACAAAAATTGTCAATTTACTAAAGCCTCAGTTTCTGCACCTAAAAAATGAGTTAAAATGCCACCTTTGTAGGGTTGTTGTGGGTTTTAAATGAACAAAAGTTTGCAAAGCAGAGCAGTCCTTTGAACATAATGTGCTCCAGACTTATAGCTACTACTAGAGGCCCAGTACACGAAAATTTGTGCACTTGGGGGGTCCCTTAGCCCAGCCTGTACCCTCTTGCAGTCCGGGAGCCCTCGGGGGATGTCTGACTAAAGGCTTAGGCCCAACTCGGCAGTTGGACATCCTTAGTGCTGCTGTGGAGGCAAGAGAGGCTCCCACCACCGCTGCTGCACTCACCAGCCTTGAGCCCGGCTGCATTGAGCGTCTGCCCCCTGGTGGTCAGTGCACATCATAGCGACAGGTCATTCTGCCGTTCGGCCAATTTGCATATTAGTCTTTTATTATATAGGATTATTGTAATGTGTGTGTGTATGTGATACACTTATTTATATGTGTGTGTATGCATACATGTGTCTATATATGATGGCTAAGCTATCACAGCAAGTATGGCATACTATTCAAGTTTTCCATGTTTAAGGCTTTTGTTTGTTGAATAGAATTATAAATGCACTTCATTTGCTAGCATGGTAATATATTTAATGATGCTTTTCAAGGGAAAATGGCAGTACAGGATGATCTTTATCCCCTAATGTTGTATTTGAGCAATGAGAAATTTTCTATAATTTCCTGAAAAATGTCACGATGAATTATACATCAGCAGACTTACCTTCTTAAAAGTCAGTAGTTATAAATAGCATTCATTAATGTCACATGTCCGTTGACACTATATACGGAAAAGTGACATGAGACTTCTTAGAAGATTATATATTACAAATCAAACTGTTGATGAAGTGCCTGTGCTTCCCAAGAGAAGACTGACTGAATTATGGAGAACTTAAAAGATTTCTCTTGGCTATTTGTCTCAAGTGAATGCTGTAATAATTTAGAGGTACCAAACAGTGACAGATCATTTCTAGTTGTTATTTGTCACAGTTGTGGGCATATTTACATTAGCTTTATTAAGATCTGCTACTCCCTGAGGGGAAATCGCAACCTTAATATTGATTGTCTTCTGGTCTGTGAGTCTTTAAGCTCCTCTCACAATAGTTCTTCAAATGGTGCTCATAAACCTCATACAAAGATGAGGTGGGTTTATCAGTTTGTCCACAAAGTCCTTTGTCATGGGTTGTGTTAAAGGGCACCACACTTCAAGTCAGTGTAAAAGAACTGGGTAAAACTTAGTGACATCGCAGGCAATTGTGACATTTTCTCTGCCCCTCCCCCAGAATCACCATCTGTCTTGTCACCTTTACTCATAAGCCATGGAGCTAAGACTGCACCTTCTCCCTCAGGGCAGATTGCCCTTCCTCCAAGGTGGGCGCATGAAGCAGCAAAGCAGAAGGAGACTCGTACCTCCCCTTGACCATCTGCAGCAACTTGCTCGATTAGCTGAGAGATGTGTCAAGCCAAAGAGTTGTCACTTTCTCCTCACTTGTACTTTGCCTCTTCTTTTCCCTCGTTTTTTTTTTTTTGTTTTCTCATGACACTCAGTGCTTTGCTTATTAATCTTTCATACTTGTCCTCCAAGTCATGCACATCCCTACATGTGAGATATTCGCCCTTCATATAGATTTATATAAGTTATGGGAGGATAAATGACTCCCTGTCAGCTAAAAGTTTGTGAAACTTTTACAACTTCTAGTGAGAAAAATGTGTGGTTTTGAAAATCACAACCTAATTTGGTCTACATGGTATATTTTTACAAGTTTATTTTTATTCCTCTCTAAATGGAGTCCAGGACTAAGAAACTAAAAACAGCCATTGTGTTTTATAGCTTACTAGCTATAAGGGTTAGAGGCTACCATAGTAACAAGCTTCTCAGAGGCAGGGACAGCATCGCCTGTATTTGTATGTTAAGAGAGCCTGCTATCAAGTGGATGAGAATTTAATGTTAAAAATAAGTTTTTAAGTGAGAACATGTATTGCACCCTGAAAAGGGGGACTGCATCCTCATTCTTTGTATGTGAGCATCCTTTGCATTTCTACCAAAGCAGTTGCTATACTCTACGTGACTTGACATGGACCACAGGATTGTCAAGGGCAAGAGCTTGCAGAAACCAGATTCTCATTCTTGGCCAGTGTTCCTTAAAGAATCTGTAACTAGGGTTCAGATCACATGTATCTTGTGGAAAGATATCGGGGAATGTGATTCAGTCCTGCTGTAGGAACTGGGACCTCAACATAGTTCTGAACTTCCCATAATCAAGGAAATTAATTACATTTTTGTTACTACTTTATTATATCAATTGGTAGCCTGATCTGGAAAACCCTTCTTAATTTTAAATCCAGATAATATGCTTTGTAGAGTATATGTCCTTCTGATAAGATAATTAAACTAATTTCAATAAGAAATATAATGAAAACCTGGAAAATTTAGTGCAAATTAAAAACTCATTTCATGGTAATTACCAGTTTTATGCTTGAACATCAAGTAGTATATGTATATGGAATTAACTAGATTGTTATTTAAAGATTCTGTCCTACCTTATAGAAGGGCAGTCCTTTGGCAAGATCACAGATTACAAATAGAAGTACGGGCTTCTCTTTTGAATACATCCTGAAATACATATATCTTTTCCCCATAAAAACCTGTATTTCAATATCTAAAGTACAAGATTGGGCTGTAGCTTTGTAACCTATTATTAAGTTTTTGATTATCAATAAACAAAGGGAACCCTGGCCAGGTGGTTCAGTTGGTTGGAATCTTGTCCCTACATCAAAAAAAGGCTTCCGGTTCGAACCCCAGTCAGGGCAACGGCAAACAATCAATGTTTCTTTCTCATGTTGATGTTTCTCTCTCTCTCTCCCCCATTTCTCTCTCTAAAATCAATTTAAAAAACACACACATATCCTCCAGTGAGGATTAAAAAATTTTTTAAATAAACGAAGAGAGTGTTGTTAACATACATTTATAATTTAAAAATAGGTGGACTTATTTTTTAATTACCAATAGGCTCTTATAGATCTATAAATAAGAAAGCAAATCAATGACGACCTAATGACAAATATAGCTTTCTTTTTTAGAATTCTTTTTACCAATGTTGATTCTTGAAATATGAAGCATCTGTGATTTCTACTATTATTAAGTCGAGATAAACATAGACATCTGACCAAAGAAGTTTGTGCTATTTAGAGAGTAGTCATTTGGGTACTTTGCAGTCATTTGGGTATTTATATTTTTCTCAAGCAATTTTTATGATTTCTGTGCATACACAAAATTTATGCACTTTAAGATTAATTTGGGGGGGAAGAGAATATTTCACTTTAAATCATTTCCATATTCTAAAACCTTGGATTGAATTTTTAGGACAAACTCTACAAATGATATTGTCTAGAATCACTTTTGTCCTTACAAAAGAAACTTAGGAATCATTACAAGCAAAACTGAGGAATCTTGTTCCTACAATGATAGTTTATGTGAGTAGCTCACATATATTTTGAGATGATTTGATGGTCTTCTGCCATCTGGTGGACACTAATAGAAGTGTCACTAGGTAGAGTAAAGATAATATAGTCTGAACCTAAATTAGAATATATTTTCTTATTATGAATTCATGTTTTATGATAATGGAAGAATCCTATTCTTATTCCCAAAGGAACACTTCACCCTAATTCCCTAGTAAACAAAAAATAACTTCATAGTTTTTACAATAATAAATCCTGTCTCTAACTCATATGAAGTTATTCATGCACTTATTTATACAAAGTATATATTTTTATATTTTCCTGAGTCATTCATATTCCATTACTAGCATAGTGTACATTTGCTGAAATTGTTAATACTAAGTACTGTACGTAAAACTTTTCAATTTATAAGGCCAATTGTTAGTTTTGGGTGCCCTCCTGTGTTCATGAGATAAACTACAGACTTGTACAGAGATGAAGACTTGGTGGCAATGCTATTAAGGCACATTTTCATTGAATCCTTGAAATATTTCTTAGAGAAGTGACAATTGGGTGACCTGAGTCAACTGCATGATCTCAGCCAGATGCTTTATAACTTTAAGTATCCCCTGAAAACAAAACCCAGGTTCTGTGAGCTTATTACTTAATCCTGGGTCTTAGTGACCTCTCTCTCTCTGTCTTTGCAGCTCGATCTGGTCTATGAAGAGAGATAGTTATTACTTTGCTTAATTTGTACAACATAAAATTTTATAATTTCCATTCTCACAATTAGCTCAAACTAGCACATTATGAATGTGTTCCAGAAAGTATCAGAGTACTCTTTCTGTTGGGACTAAGTATTTGGCACCATTCCCAGCATAGGCTTGAATTCTATTCTAAGTCCCTGAAAGATTTTCAAAATATTTTTTTTCAGTTGAGATAAGCAAACTTTCTAATTCCATGAAATTAATTGCTTAATCAATTTATTATGTCAAAGTAAGATTTTTTGTTAGCAGATCTGAAAAATACTGAAATGATTGTTTTACTTGTTCTCCTATGGTTTTATCTGGTTGGAAATTTTTAATTATTTCAAGGATTTTCTGTCAACAAAATGTCCGGTAGTAGACCATATTTATAATTGAAATTCTCCTCGTCCCAAGCTAAACACATTTGTCAAGTACCTAAAAAGAGACATAAAGGTATCATAAATTTGTAGATGTCCTTTGTACATTTATTTCCAAAAATAATGCCCTATATTCAAGGTAGCATTTTAGTCAATCTAGAAATAAAAGGCTATGGCTTTTATGTTTATAATCTGCTAGAGAAGTTAAGAAAGACCAATTCAGAAAAACAATATAAGAGAAAATGAAATTAATCCAATAGTAAAACCAAGCAGATAAATGACACAGATCACTTCAGCAGAAGTCAGAGCATTTGGCCTAGAACTCTCCTGAATGGAAATGTAGGACCTGAACAGCTAGAGATAGGTGTGAAGGAAGAAGTATTTCATAGACAGGAAATGGCATAAACAAAAGCTCTGCAGCAAGTAAGTATAACTCTTTACATTCTTTTGAAATAAAATACAAAAAAATCATCTATGTATATAAAAGGATAATATGCTAAGTGTCCGACCATCTGGGTAATAACATCATGTAGCAATGCCCGGCTTCCTCTCCTAGCGACAACTAGCCTCCTTGCAGTTTCTTCAACCCAGGAACATGACTTGCTTTATAGCAACATGACTTGCTTTATAGCCAGATGGAAACATTTCACACTTTAACCAAATGTCTGTGAAGCATTTTTCTATGCCTCATCTCATTTGATCCTCACAGAAGTCCTGGAGTAGGTAGATAGGTGACTCAATGGAATCCTATTTTCATTAGCCGGAAAACGGAAATTTAGAAAGCTTAGAAACCTGATTCAACTGAAAAGAAGTAAGAAATGGTGGACCTTGAAAATGACTTCAGGTTTTCTCACTGCACAGAATATAGTCAAACACTACTGCAGTTAAATATTTTACCCTTTGTTCTCCCTGCATGATCTACAATAATAATCTGCTTTGTGTTGATATTTACTGCTGTGTTGCTGACAATTACCTGAAAGAGAAGTTGGGGTACTTCACTGGGCTGGAAAAAGTTTAGCTAAATCAGAAAGCAGGTCTAATTAAGCAAGCTTATTCTATATCTATAGAAGGCTAAGTTAACTTGTGCATGCACGACACATATAAAGCTCTTGCTGGTGCCAATTGTGTGCCTGTGTTTCGATCTCTCATTGTTGATCATGAATTTGGTTGACACTTCTATTATAGAGAATTTCCTTTCAATGTGCACAAATTCATGCACCAGGCCACTAGTAGAATATGATGTAGTACTTGTTAAAATCCTGGAGGCTGACAGCTGTATCAATAACTGTATTTTTTTCTCTGAAGTTTGTAGCTCAGAACCAGAAAATGTTCAAGCCGACCCAAAGAATTACACCAGCCTTCTTGTTACATGGGAGAGACCTCGAGTCGTGTATGATAACATGATCGAGAAGTTTGCAGTTCTTTACCAGCAGTTAGAGGGAGAAGACCAAACCAAACATGAATTTTTGACAGATGGCTATCAAGATCTGGTAACTATAAGATCAGTTGTTTCTTATATTGATAATATCATAGTTTAATTTTCAAGGAAAGATCTTACAAGCGATTGTATATTGTTGCCCTCGATTGTTTAGAGTCGGTATGAAGGTCGCCAGTGGGGAGGAGGAGGAGGAGCAGAAGCTAGCCTAAATAATGTCAAATCTTACAATGAATCACACTAGGTTATTGTTTATGGTTTTAATTAT